CAAAACGAAATCCCTTTGATAAGCACCAAAACACCAGAAATAAATATGTACAGCAGAAGAAAACCTTAGAAGAGCGCCGCAATAAGTAGACGAAATGTGTGTAGTAAAAAGGAAGCCAAACGAAAGTGAAAATAACAAGTAAACAACAACAATATAAACACATAAAATAGCACAACAACAAGTACGAATAAACAAAACTAAGCGCCAGAGAGAAAAGGGCAAAGACATGGTTGACTTTGAGTCAAGAAAGGACTTCATTACAGGACGCATAGGCACGCACATACATACGTACATATTTAGATACAAATAAACACACATGCAACAGAGGATACTACACAAAAGTAAACAGTTAATATATCCTTGCGAAATTTAACTAACTGGTGTATTTACTAAGGAAGCATTGACGGCGGCAGCAGTGAGCTTATGGAGATACGGATGAGTGGAGTGGAATGTTGCGTTTAGTTGAGTTGAGTGCCCAAGGCGCGCGAGCAAGTTTATGCCGCTAACATGGAGTGAAGGAGTGAAGCTGCAGTGCAGCATACAAGAGAGCAATGACACCCGCCAAAGGGGGTTGAAAGTTGGCGCGAAAACCATCTGTACATGGTTGCCAAGTACAAGCAAAAAGTAGTAGAATTTTGGCAAAGCGACACCTCCAATTTGTCGCCAATATTTTTGTGCTTTTTTTTGAGTGAGTGAGTTAGTGAGTGAGTGCGTTTTTGAGTGTGTTCTTGGCAAGTAAAATAAAAAAATAAAAACTTGCCAAAAAGAAGCTTTAGGTTAAACCCGATACAAAAGCTATACCGGCGGCAGCAGAAGGGCACCGCCAAATTTTTAGCGTCGCTGTTGCTTTTTGCTGCTTTTCAACATACGAGTACCTCCTCCACTTCCCCAACAAAGTGTATGGAATAAAACGCAATAAAACGCTGTAGCACGTGGTTGTACAGGGTCGAAATTGAGTGCGTGGATTGATGGTTGTATAAATTAAGAGTGTGTGTGTGGCGGTTAATTTTTCGGGGGAGACTTTTGCGAGACGTTTCGCATTACAAATTCCCAACGGTAAAGGGTGGCATGCAACAGCGGCGCAGTGTTGACACATGAAAAGGGGGGGCTTACATATGGAAGTACATAAAAGCCTCAGGGATGCTCTAGTTACTACGTATATGCGTGCATAGCAGGTAAACAAATTACGTATCTTTATTTGAGTAGAATTCAATGCCACCATAATTTTGGAATCGCCACATGCATACGAAAAACACACTTCCGAGCACTGAGCTTTTGACCTGTTCATCCATATGAAACGGACTAACAAAACTAACTAAGGCTTTCGCTCAACTCCGAAGGGTTCCAAAAGCTTACATATTTTTTTATCTTTAGATTTATGGAATTGTAAAATATTAATTTTTGTTCGGATTTACATATTATTCTATTTACTAATTTGTCGCTATTTCGACTTGTACCGTTGCGTATGAAGACCTTTTTGTGTATTCTAAAATTAATGAATAAGAATTGTAGTCGATTTCTCACCAAAAATAGTTATTCAATTGTCTGAAAAATATTGGGTTAACTGGGTTAGCTTAGTTGTCTAGCGAGAGCCCTTACGAGATGATTTCTTAGAGGTTAGTTACCGCTTGGCGCCGCCATTTTGTAGCATTTTGTTTGATAAATGGAACCTAGTTATATTTCTGTAGGCCTAATTAGTTAAGCTAGTTATTAAGGGTTTATATTTTTTTAGTTCAAAAAACTTTACCATATCCATATACAATCCCTATATTGCTACATATTTGTGTTCTGAGAATTGAATGTATTTTTATGAATGAAAATCTTTAGCTATTAATGCGGTAATTATTCTACATTTTCTGTTATCCACTGTTCTCCAAGTATTACATCGTTTTTTTTTCGTAGACAAGTATTTTAAAATTAGCAAGTTTTTGAAAATTTAAAAGAAATTTTACTAGGACGCCTAAAAGTTTGGAATTTTAAAATTGTATAAATTTCTTTCACTCAGAAAAAGGTTTAGTTATAATAACCAAGATTTGGTTATAGTGACCAAGTGGCATAGTTGGATATGGCGAAATAAATATCTAGTTCACGAAAGTCTGCAATTTACTTGAGCCTTCTAGTTGGGACAAATGTATATTTNAAATAATGATTTAAAAAATACAGTTCTTACTAAAAAACATTTAAGTTACTTATTTAAGAAAATTCAAAGTTTTCAATTAATTTTGTGTTGTTACTCAGAAAAAATTTTATGAAATTTAAACTTTCTAACATTGTTAAATGTTTAAAGTTTTTTTATTTATTCTTTGGTGTTATTTACCTAAAAGAAAAAAATTATATCCAAAATATTAAAACTAAAAAAAAATTGTTTTTACCATAAAAAAATTTTAATTTAATTTACAGATAGTTCACAGACAAGTTTAAAGCTATTAATCAATTTTGTGTTGTTACTTTGAAAAAATAGGAATTTTAGAATTTCTAACATTTTAAGGGCTGCTCTCAAGAAAAACGAAAAATCATATAAAATGACGCACAAGAAATGGAAAAGTAGTGTTTCTGTCAAAATTTCTTAAATCAGTTTGCAGCTCTCAGGAAAAAATGGTCGTTTATTTATTTTTTCAAGAATTTTTCAGCACAAGCAAAGCCATTTTTTTTGTAATTTTACTTGAGAGTTGAAAACAGCCCTTTAAGATGATTTGTTAGAAAAGTGAGTTTCAAATTTTTAAGACCAAATTTTTTTAAGTGTTTTCCATAAAAAAAAACGCCGTCACGCTCAATAAAATTGTTTAATTTTTTTTAGTGTAAAATTGTATATCCTTTTTAACTAAGAAAAATCCTTTAAAATTTCTAAAATTATTAAGATGCATCTGCAGAAATAATGACCGTAAAATTTTTTGGATTTTTTGTTGCAAGAATTAATGTAAAAAAACTTGGTATCCAGATCTCGAGAAAAATAAAACTTTCATATAAAAACCCCGCTCAGGAAATGTAAAAGATTTTTTTCTATCAAAATTTATTAAAACAGTATGCAGCTCACAAGAAATTTCATACATTTCAAGGATGTGAACCGGGCGTGAACTGAACCGGGTTTGAAACGGATTTTTTCTACCAAGTAACTGAAACAATAACCGAACCGAAATTTTTTACAATTGTTTGAGCCGAACCGATTTGTTTGAACCGAACCACTTTTTAAAAAAGTATTTCAAGATTTTTAAGAATTAGCAAGCATTCAAATTAAATTAATTTTTAAAAGAGGATAAAAAATATTTTACATTCAAATTAGTTTTGTTTTTTGGTTTTGAAATAAATGAAAGTGGTACATCTTGTAACTTTTTTTTTAATAAATTCTTTACTATTAAGAGGAAAAAAGAATTATTTAAATGAAAATATTTATTACCGTTTGGTCGAGAAAATGGCCCTTAAAGTGTTTTAAAGCTTTTTTTTATGCTTACAAAAATCTTATTCAGTTAAAAATAAAAAATAAAATAAATATTTTATTTATTTTAAGTTGTAAGCATTTTTTTGTTAACAAAGAAATCGTGCTCACAATAAAGAAACCATAAACGGAAAATCCAGTTAAGGGGTTTTACCACCCCGACGGTCGAAAAATGGCGTAAAAAATAATTTTTGTTGCGCAGATATGAAATTTATAAAAAAGACTTTTGTTTCACTTACAACAATTTCTTGCACTAAAGGCAGAGTTTTGAACAATATAAACAAATGTTATAAAGAATCGGTTAAGTAAAACTGACAAAAAATGTGCATACCGACTTTCTGCGCCTTTCTACCAATCCCACTGCTTTTGAAGAAGATACTTTGAATTTCGGATTGGAGAAGCGCTTAAAATATTCTTAAGAGCTTAGACGTAGATTTTTTTAAGCGAAAACATTTTTTTTTATTATTTTATTTTTTCACCCTTTGTAACCCTTTAATAAATAATTTTTTAACGCAATATATTTTTTTATTTAATAGATGTAAAAAATACTTAATATCTACTAAAAAAGCAAGTAAACGATTAATCTTTGATAAAAATGTCGTAAATTTTTACAAATTTATATAATTCTAAAAAAACAATGTCACACAATTTTCATTTTTTTTTTTTATACATGTTTTTGACCAAGCGTAAATTTAATTTGTTTACAAAGTGCAAGCCTTTTTATTTTGAGCCAAACTAGTTTTCGGCAGTTTTGAAATTCCGTCCAACCCGTTTTTTCCAAATTTTTTCAAAATTATGCTAAGCAAAACTCGGATTCTCTCAAAAAGGAACCTTTTTTTATAAAAAAAAATATATGGACATACATATTAGATAACAGCGATCAAACGTTCGAAAAAAGTTTCTAAGTTTTTTTCAGTACTGGTTATTAATTGGCAAAAAATTCGTAATTCGTAAATAACGTATTGATGCAATTCTCTCGCAAAAATTTTTCTATGAGCACGGAGACTTATGTAATAGACGAATCTTGAGCCTCCGATCGGCTGAGATACCTACAATGAATTGTTCTGAACCTTCTTCAACTTTTCCAGGGGTGATGAAAATTCATCCAAGACGCATCTAACAGCCCATTGCCATCAAAGGCTGGAGATAAGAGATAAGAGGCCAAATAAGTTCTAAAAATTTTAACATGGAATGATCGGCAAGGCTTAGATACTTTTGAATTTTATACTTTTGTTTGGTTTATACTAAATATGAGCAACTAGCCCCTCTGAATTGTGATCGCCTTGAATGAACTATAAGATACACCCTGCCAAATCCAACCGATAACTAAAAAGAAACCTTCGAAGCCAAAACTTTCAGCCATATTGCCATACTTGAATTGTTTTAGCGAAGCATAAGAGATGCAGTTAAGTATAAAAATAATCTTCAAACGGCTGGTAAAGTATTCCTACTTCCACTTATACCTACATACCTACTTATGCATCAAAAATCGTTAGATAGCGAGCATTCCTAACTTTTCGAAAAAACCCCACTCATTTCATCGAACCTCCATTTTATGTCCACTTACTTGCTCTGATCGATTACCGGCTGCATCCAGGCGCGCGCTCCTAACGGCTCCTCCTTCAGCGAAGTCATGGGACCGCGCGGCTGATTCATATCCGCTGCCGTTGGTGGCAGACCAAACATGAGGCCGCTCGCCGAACGTGGACCGGTCGACGGATATAGCTTGCGGCCCCATTCTAATTCGAGCGTGGGCCATGGTGTGGCCGAGCTAAAGCCCGGTACTGGTTCGTCAGAACGCAGCTTGAAGCCGTTACACGCACGGAAGGGATGAGAAAAAGAGCAAATTGTTGGTGTGAAGGCGGTGACGCGGAGTGGAAAAAAGCACGAAATTAATTCAGTATAGAAAACTAAATCGTTTATGAGTTATTCAACACTGCATGTGTTGTTGTTTCTGCCACTATTTGTTCGCTGTTTTTTAAAGCGCGCGTTTTTTCTGCAGCTAACGCCAATAACAACAACGACAGTTAATTTGTATACAATCACTTGTTTTTTTTTTTTTTTATTACGCGCTCAGTTAAGCATTTACACTTGCGACTCGGCTTATTCACACTTTCCCCTCGTGGGGTTTCACACAACTGCTGCTACTGCATCAAAAAACATTTAATAAAAAAATCGCACACAAACACATACACAATGACGCGCAAAAGGTACGCACACTTTTCTGCCACACTGTCTCACAACGCCAAACGACACACACTGTCAATCAATTGATTGTTTGGTTAGTCGGCCGATCGATCGGTCGGTCGGTCGTTTTGGGACGCCCGCTCGGTCACTGGTGTATACGCAAATTCATCGAATTATTCCAAAAATATTCAGTGTATGTGCAATAACTAATTTGTTTGACAGCTGCGCTGATTTGTACAAATTTCATTGACGCTCTCGAAATATCAAAAAAGCCCGTTGAGAATTAGGGATTTTCCCGGATTGAAGCAGCTATAAAAAAAAAACACAAAAAAAATAAGTCAGCTCAAGCTGGCACTACAGTGTTTTGGCTCAAATGTGTGACGCTACTCTTGCCCAAGTTCTTGCGACAGCTGTACCGTCCCGAGTGGCTGTTAAACCCCAACTGAATCCCGCAGTGTGATGTTATGACCGGCATTGCCGCTGCTGAGGCTGTTACGGCCGCTGCGGCGCGCACACAATGCCGACGAGCCAAATATAGCCAGCGACGGCGCAGCAGCAGTCAGCCTTGCAGGCCAGCCAGCCAACAAGCCAGGCAGCTAGCACGGTATCGGAACAAAGTGACGCAGTAGACGACGTCAACAAGCACGACGAATCACCATTGGCGAGGGTTCAATTGCAAAAGCAAAGCAAAAGGCACAGCGCCGCACAGCACAGCAAAGCAGCAATAACAATAAACGCTTGGGAGTGTGCATGTGAATGAGTGAGCGCATGACAGCGTGTGTGTGTGTGTGTGTGTGTGTGTGTGTCAGGGTGTGCGCGAATGAATAGGACACCACTGCTGGAAGTGAAGCAACTAAAACCCACTGCGAAGAACAACAACATAAATGGTGGTGATGGTGGTGGTAGCTGTAGCAGCATTGTTTTTACTAATGCAGTGCAGCAAGGCCAGCGAAGGCAGTGCCAGAGTGTCGATATAGCAGTGTATTGTTGGGCAGCGCCAGAGCAGAGCAGAGCAGTTGTAATGCAGTGCAAACTGCTTTGTTGTTGCCTGCAGTCAGTAACCAACCAACCAACCAACCACCAATGACACAAAGTAAAAGGCAACAACAAAGTAGCACACAGTGAACAACAATGGAAGGGGTGCAATAAAAAAAAACATACTGTGTTTTTTGTAGAAAAAACGGTAAATAAAAAATAATAAAAGCAGTCTAAAAATCCTAACCTATCACTAGTGGTGCTGCGCTGAGCAGGCGCATCGACGCAAGGCACTTGTGGGGTACGAGCAGTGTTGCCGTTGTGCGACTAAAGGAGCAATTTGGCCCTTTTCAGGCACCAATACCCTTTGACCCGACTTTTTGAAAATTGCAATTTTTTTACCCTTTTCCAAAATAATAACTTGCTATTATTTAAAAAATATTTTCTCCTATAAGTACGAAAAAATGTAGCACTTAAAACTTTTAAAGGAATGCAACTCTTCTCCTTGCAACAACTCGATTTCTGTATTTTTTTTCAAAGCTTTTTCCGCTATTTTCTTTTTAAATTCAACAGCGGAACGTTCTAGCAGCGAAATGACTTAGTAATACATCTAAATTTGATTTTGACATTGGATCTCAGATTAATTCTTTTGCTAGTATCTAAATGAAAGCAAAAACAATATGGTGGCCCTTTTTTCGTCAAATATCCTTTTTTGCGACTTACTGAAAATTCTAAACGGCAACGGTATACGAGTGCTATTTACAGCAACGTCTACTGCGTGTGGCGGAATTCTCTAACTAGGAGTAGGTGTCAGTGATCGGACCTAAAATAATACTGTGTGGTAGAATCTGGAAAAAATTTAGATTTCAAAAAAATGTGGTAGATCTCAGTTTTTGGACAGTTTATTATTTATTTATGTCTTTTATGTACTACGAAACAGAAACTATAATAACTTTTAATAGTGTCGGGACAGTTTAACAATTTGTCAATTTTTTACAAAAGTATAGCTCTTTGTCTAAAAAACTATATAAATCCGAATTTCAAACTTTGTGCAAAAATTAAAAAAATTGTCCAACGTTTCACGTAAATTGCAAACTTTTCAATTAGAATCTCCAGGAAAAAAAACTTTTAAATTTTAGTACATGTAAAAAAGTGCGAATTTTAAGTTGCTAAAAACTGCGTTGAGTTTTGGAATTTTTTTTTTCTTGACAGTGTAAAACAGTTCCTTCGTTATAAAGATATTTTTCGAACATACTTTGAGAGATTTCTCCAACCTTGCGGAGTGCTGCCTGCTTTTCTTTTTATCACATCACGATTTAGCGAACAAAGGTGGTGCGTTCCGCAAACTGTTACCTATTTAACGCCTCAGAAACTTTAAATGCACTGAAATTCACTAATGCTTTCACAAATCTGCGATCTTTAAAATTTTCTTTATTAATTCTTTTTATAAATCATATATTTTGCATTCTAAGACAATTGAAACAATTGAATATTAAGAAAATTGGCTGTTTAAGAGTTTATTTTTATTTCTTCCTCCCGTTCGGCTTTGTTTACTTTTAAATCAGTTAAAATGTTTAAATCTCATCGCAGCCGGGAATGCGAAATCTTGCTTTCTCTCATTATTGTTATCACATTGTGTTTAATGCTGGACAATTTTTGCTCCCAAAATTAAAAGCATAAAAAAATTATGTCGAGCAAAAATTAAACTACTCCAAAACGCGAATATGTGATAGACTTCAGACCTTGTGTGGTAGAAATGGTAGATGCTCATAAAGGGGTAGATCTACCACAATGTGGTAGAAGTCCGACCACTGCTAGGTGCAATAAAACAGTCGCATACATACAGTGCAGTGCAGTGAAGGACTACTGGGTCGACCGACATCCACCGCTCTGAAGAAGAACGATGACGTTTGTTCTGCAGTCTGCCTCCACTGAGAGGCTGTTGCTGTGCGCGAGCCCAGACAATGAGCTTGTGCGTTTGAGTGTTGCACACACTGAGAAAAAGGATTAGTTTCGACAACTAAAGATATTTAGTTCCCGAATTTTGACACTATTTGGGAACTGTTACCAAGGATTGGGAACTATTACCATCGATTGGTTATTATAACTAAATATATTAAAGCTTCTAATATTCATCTAGGTTGTAACAAATCGTTAATTTAGTTGAAGGGTTTGGTTAATACTAATAAATATTTCTTTGAAGCATATTTCTACAAATTCCATTCAACTTAACGTATGGTTCATAAAAGGATGTTATTAAGCTCTG